ACACACACACAATGGGGGTCAGCGGGGATTGCCCTCCCACCCTGCTTGGCACCCGCACAACAGCTGTCCCATGGTGTGGGTGCAGTGTGGCTAGGCAGGGTGCCATGTGCTGTTTGGGAGCTGGGGCGACTCCACCTGTCAGCCAGAACCTGGCACCACTCAGCCCCAGCGACCCCAGCTCCCAGATTGTGGCTCAGCAGGGTGCCATGCGCTTTGCACCCACACAATGCGACAGCTACTGCACGGGTGCCAGGCACGGGGTGGGGGCGATCCCTACTGTCCCCCAGTGCTCTGTGCTGTGCCGGGGAGCTCTTCCACGAGTGCCTAGAGGCCCCAGTCACAGCTGCTGCAGCCAGTGAGTGCGGGCCTTTTCTTTTCTTTTCTTTTTATTTTTTTTAAGTTCTTGGACTAGGCTGGGGCCAGGCGGGGGATGGGGCTGTGCAGGGCAGCCATGGTGGCTTCTCCTGTGGCTCCCCCACCTGGGGGAGAACTTGCAGCCACCCAGCTGTGCCTTTGTTTCTCTGGCTGATCCAAATCAGTGCCGAATCTTCAACTCTGATTCAGCCAGATTGAATGGGGACAGTGATTCGAATCACCGAATTGAATCACTGTCCTCCAAATTGGCTGAATCCGAATTGAATACTCCCCTATTCGCACAGGCCTAGTAAGCAGTAACTTCTGGTTAGTGAATGTGAACATGCAGCTGACAGCAGTGGTACTTCTTTCTTTTCCCCTCTCCTTTCCCCAGGTTGGCAGCCAGGGCCAGTAGCCCCTCTTTCACCATTCCCTCCTCCCATTATGAGAGTTTTGACGCATCGCAATTGCAACAGCTCTGGAATATGAATTAACATAATGCAAAATTACTATCATAACACTGTCCATTCTAGTGTTAATACAGTTTAAATCTTGCTTAATTAAACTTACAGATGGTAGATGTCAAGTTTAAGTTTGTTACCCCTCGATTTGGCACTATTAAATTTAGATGTTGCTTAGAGTCTAAGTTGAAGCAGTTGAAGTAAGGATGTGGAAAGTGAACTGGGAATGATTCTGCTTACCAGCTGTTCCAAATGTTTGTTGTTTTTCTTTTCCTATTATTGATCTACATCTTTGTCTTTTCTGCTCTTTTTTTTTTTATTTTCAAGGGTTTCCAATATACAGCAGCAGCTGGCCTTGCTAGATAATGAATCTTGGCCAGGAATGGCTGAGGCGGACAGGGACCGTCTTCAGCTCATAAAAGAGAAAGAGGCTCTTCTTCAAGAATTACAGCTTATCAGTCAGCAGAGACGATCTCCAGAAGATTTAGCACGTTTGGAGGAAGAAAAACGGCGCTTGGAGGATGAAATTCAGTGTGCTCGGGCTACTTCTGCTCATGGAGCCACTGAAAGGTTTGGAAATAATCAAATAATTTTCTTGTCTGTCACAGGATATGCGTGCATTAAACTGAAATGAATGAGGAATTTCATCAGATTTCTGAGAGATGTAAATGTTGTGGTGTCTATTAGGCCCTTGGCATTTGATCGTGCCATTGGTTTCTAAGGAGTTTTATGTCTGATCCCAAAAATCACATATACTGTCAAGCCAGTTGTGCAGAATCAAATGCACAATTTTGAGGATCAAGGATAAAATTCCTCAGATCCCAGTTGCTGGATCGCCTGTGCCAGGAGATCAGTTTAGGAGGACAGGATTCTGTAAGCTGGGCTCCCCAGATACTGGCAACACCAGTGCGGTCTACCATTGAGGAATCAGTTTCTCAGTGATGGGCTGCAGCAGGGTGTCTTTTAACAGGCACACAGGGGGGTTGTTTAGGTGGGGGAACATCTCTAAAAGCCAGGCATGGGGATACTTTTGGTGGTTGGACAGGGGACATCCAGGTCCAGGACTGCCCTCTGCCTAATCCCAGGGATTGGACCTGAGGTGGCTGTCTCAGACCCTATGGCTGACCCCTTGATGTCAGTCAATGGATTCTCAGGGTGGGGCACAGAGCAGCATAGGTCTGGGACATGCCACGCATTGAATTTGAAGTGTGATATAAACCAGCCACAAAGCTGCTCCGTATTAAATATGGCACATGAAATATGAAATTTTTACAGCTGGTTTGCTGTTGTATCACACAGTAAGTTGGTTGAGTGTGTCATGTTACAATCTGTGGTGCAGTTAACATGTTAATTGTGCTGTAAATGTAATGCTTGTCAGGATAATTAGTGCACTTTGCTTAGAGAAAGGCTAGAGCTCCAGTCAGCACTTACTGACTGTACCTGTATTTCAAAACACACTTTGCAGGGCTTCCGCAGTAGCATTAGAGTGAAATCAACTGAATTCAAATTCTTTTTTTTCTGTTCAGACTCTAGTGACGGTGAAATTGATCAGAATTAAATCAAGTTGAATTTTAAGTTTGCTTGGAAGAACTCTGACCTGCAGGGCATGCCACTGGACTATGCAGAATGGCTGGGGACACCAAAATAGAGATGGGGAGAGAGAGAAGTTGATAGGAGTCTAGAGTTAGAAATAGGATTAGTATTAGTTATAGAGACTTCTCCCATACTCAGCACTTGTCCCCATCAAAGATGAGCTTTACGATACATTTGTGTACATGCCTTTCCCATTACTTTTACCTATATACAGTTTGGTTGGATTCCAGATATGCTCCTAAAATGTTGTCTTCACTGTAGGTATTTTTTATAGTTAAAATCAATATGAAGTTCTGTTCTTAATGAAAACAAAAAACATTTTGGGTGATTTATTTTAAGGTGCCACAAATTTTCACCCTAATTCAAGGAACCAAGAAAAGTCTGATTTTTGTATTTCAATCAACTGTCCATATTTATAAACTGTTTCAAATGTATAGAGAGAACTCCTCTGTCAAACTCACATATCCTGTGTAATTAATACTTGAGTTTCATGAAAAAATTAATACTCAGATAATATTGCTAAACTTTATTGATGGTGAAGCTTTTCACTTCAGCAGAAATATTTCTATCTAGTATATTTTTCCATGTCTTAAAGTCATTGTCCCCCTGCATCCCCAAATGAGATTTTCTAAGGCATTCTTTTTTTTTTGATTTTTGGAACATGTTGAAGCATAAATTAATGGTAAAATGCCAACTATGACACTTGAACAAAACTACTCTTACAACTTTAATGCCATATTATGTAAATAGTATAACTTTTTTTAAAAGTACTCTTATTATGTAATTGAACATGCCTACTTCATACAGGCTTGCAGAATTTTATTTCCCTTGAATATTTATTTTAGGCAGTAAATCCAAAAGATAATGGAAGATTCATAGCATAAGTGTTTAATGTTTTGTATGACATTATTTGTGATTTTTATAATATCTTTATGTTGATAGTTCAGCTTAAAAATTGACAGAGAAGGGAGTTTGCTTTACACTGTAGTGTAGTAAATTTTTATTGGATGTTTTGGGAGACTCATGTTAGTAGAGCATACTGTGCTGGCAGGAAGAGCAAGTTATTTTTCCATGGTGTAATCTGTGCTGTGGAAATCAGCATTCCAGTGTGATATTTGATATTTCAAATGCTAGCAAGAACTTAAGTTAAAACAGTTAAAATAATGTATGTTAAGAGCTCTATTTTTGTGTATATATAAAAAAGTATGTATAACACCAATGTCTAGTTTAACTCTTGTAGTTTGTCAGATTTTATTTTTAGGCCTGTTAGTGATGGAAAATATTTGATTCAAAATTGTCTTTCCAAATTCCACTCTCTACTCCACATCCAAAAGAGTTCTGGTTCTTGTTTAAGTATATGTAATGGCTATCTATTGCTATTTAAAATGTAGTATTAAACAGCTGAATAATTCTTTACTTGTACAGTAAAGTACATTTTAACTTTTAATTGATGTTTTTTGGAGGATACTGGTTTTTTGTTTTTCTGGAATTTCCCTAGTACATTAACAGCTTAATTTCATTTATCCCAAACATTTCCCTTTCATTTCCTCTTTACTATGTTCCCATCAAGACCTCTGCATCATTATTTTAGCAGTTGTGAGAGACTTTGTTGGGACTTTCTGTGGACAGGTCTTCAGACTGATGTCCCAAGGCCTCTGACATAAATTAATATACGTGTAGAATTGAGATCTGAGAAATTTTATGCCCAATTGCAAGAATTGGTCATACTGCCGCCATTCCAGACATGGAGGGCAGAATGTGTGATTTTTTGGAATGGGGTATTCCTCAGTTCCCAGTAGACAAGTTGGTAAATGTAATGTCTCCAAGTGGGCTCCAAGTGACTTTATAGCATTCTAATTACCAGCTGACTTGTGACCGCAGCACTCAGGTATTAAGTTCTCTAGGCTCCTGCATACTAAGATAGAAACAAAGAAGATTAGAAAATTATCACCCTATCTTTAATTTTTTAGAAGATTTTTTTTTCTTTTATAGATTTAAGAAAAAATAAAACACTGAAACTTTTGAGTGTTGAGTGAATTGTCACATTTTCTTTTTTTTTGGGGTGGTGAATGGGGAAGCATTTTTATGCCATAACTTTTGTTTAGAAGAGAGAAATTCAAGAAAACATAATTAGCAAAATTCAAAAACTAGTTTTCCAGTTTACCATATAGCTCTTGGGACATTATTTTTAAATTCAGATTAATTCCTACGTGTTTTCCCAGTGGTTCCTCATTCCTTTCCTTGCATATAATCTATTTGAATGAAGGCCAGGAATGTAGACTGCTTCTGAACTGCTTAGTAGGAAAACGTTCTTCAGTTTTTTCCCTTTTAAATTTTCCTCTCAGACTGTCAAGGTGATTGGGCAACTTTCAGGAACATTTTCAAGTATATTGTGACAGTGTCCTGCATTTTAATTGAGCTACATTGTTGATGCTTGGAAGAAACAAAGTTTATTCTTTAAGGATTTTTTTCTTTTTTATGTTATCCTGGATACTTTAATATAAGACCTTGATATTGTATTTGTATACCTTCACCACCATGAGTTTGTATTGTCATTTGATTCCTTGTGGTTTAGTTACTCTAGTTCTCACAATACCTTGTAAAGCTCCTGGTTTCCAGTGCTATTAGTGAGAATTCCCTCACGGCTAGAGGTGCACCGATATGTAAGTCCAGTAGTGGATTGGGGCTGATATAAAGAAAATTAACTGTATTGGAAATAGGCTTTTTTTGCCTGATATGGCCAATAAATGCCCTGTGCATGCACGCAGCTGCAGCGCAGCACGTAGGCAGCGAGGAGCACAGTCTGACAGCTTGGAGAGCTGGGTCCAGCTGGTAAGTCTGTGGTGGAAGGGAAGGGAAGAGGCGTGGAGGTGGGCAGAGGTGCCCACAGTGAGGGAGGAAGTGGGGCTAGGGCAGAGGCAGGGGTAGGAGCTGCCCAGCCAAAGCAGGGTGGCGTGTGGGACAGAGCTGCAGCTTGTCTGGGGAAGCATGGGGAGCGGGAGCAGCTCCTACCGCTGTGTACACCCTGAGAGGGCATGGGGGTATGTACTCTCCAGATCTGCACAGGACAGGGTGGGCTGCCACTGTGGGCTGGGGCTGGAGCTGCCCCTGGCTTTTCCCAGCAGAGGGCTGGGCCAGGCTGCGCTCAGGGTGGGGCAGTTAGCAGTGCTGACGGTGCGGAGGTTGAGGAGGGGGCTATGGAGAATTTTGGGATGGCTGCAACCCCCCTGTAGCCCCCTCCCAACACCGCCATTGCCTGCCCTGAGCGCAGCCTGGCCCAGCCCCCACCAGGGAAGAGCCTGGCACAGCTACCTGCTTCACCCTGCGCAAATCTGGGAACACACACCCCCTCATGCCCTCCTGGGGTACATCCCTGCACCTCCCAGATGAGCCGTGACTATGTCCTGCACCCTGCCCTCCCCCGCCTGGGCAGTGCCTCCCCCAGCCCCACTCCCTTCTTCCCTCACCACAGGGGCCTCAATCTGCCCAGCACCCCCCACAACCCTTCCACCACAACAGATTTACCAGCCAGATGCTGCTCTTCAAGCTGCCAGGCTGTGTATTGGAAATTGATATCGTCTGGTATGCTTCCTTAAAAATTGACTATAGGCATCAGCCCAAAAAATCTCCATCAGTGCACCCCTATGCGCTGCATATGACCCTAAAAGATAATCTACAAGGATTCAGTTTTGTATTGTGACATATCTGAAGTGCAACAAGAAGTAGCTCTTCTGTGATTGGAATACTCCTAGCCCATTTCAAGTACAATTGCAATGCAAATAATATATGTATATTTTTAAATTATAGAATACTGTTGCAGGAAAAGAGGAACTGTTTGCTTATGCAGCTGGAAGAAGCAACTCGTTTAACTTCCTACTTACACTCCCAGTTAAAAAGGTGAGTTGGAAAAAGCTTTGTTTTCTTTAAGTAAATCTAGGCCCCTAGTACATGTTCATTAATGGTATGATGGGACCTGATTCTCTGTCCTAACAGTCGTACCTCCTGTCCCATGATGCACGTTCATGGCAGGAAGTCCAGTTTTGGAATTGGTGATCAGACCCTAGTCATACCATTACTACTTGTTGCTGTAGGGGGAGCCTGGGATCATGATACTGGGCTCCCTTGCACGGGCTGAAATTGAGAATTAGGTGATTTTCAGCTCTGACTTGGGTCTCAAACTGGCACCAGTGCATTCCTTGGAAGTTGTTGGCCCCATACCTGGTAGTTCTGGCTGGTCTGCTAGGTACAGGGGATCAGAAGCTCCCAGCTGGGGTGGGGAGGGTGATGAAGAGTTTCACTTTTTTGGCACTTTAAATCAGAGCTGTCGGGCACTGGGTTTAAAGTCCCCAGGAGCCTCCTGCTGAGGCTGACAACCAGCTGATTCTCAGTCCTGGAGCTGTTCCAGACCCTGGTGTGGTCCTGGCTGCAGGGCTGATAATCAGCTGATTTTTTGGGCCAGCCATATAAGGTGCCATACAAACCAGCCATAAAAATGTTCTATTTTATGGAACATTTTTATTGCTTATTTCTCATTATATGGTGACTTAATATATCTGCGGCATGTGTAGCACTCTGCCACCCATTTATGTCATGATTAATGTGTTAAGGAGGTTTTAATTACATTTTAAAATTTGCACCAGAAGAGAAAAACATGGAAATGGAATACAACAGTTTATTTTTACACCCTTTACAGTGGATTGGTAGTGTAAATGAAAGATGGTTAGTGGTCTTTTAGTTCATCTGTTTTCTGTAAGCACAGCTTGGGCACTGAAATGCATACATTGCTTGCAGTTTAGCAAAGTATTTGACCATTTAAAATTCAGTGGTCTTCAAAGAGTGTTACTATAAGGATAAATGTAAAACTAAACTAAAAATTTTAAGTGGGTGGAGAAACTCAAGTACCATATCTGCAACAGAGCTGAAAAAAAAATCCTAAGAGCTAAAGACAGAAGTGATGGCAATGTTTGTTGTGTTATGAAAGGGGAGGTAGTGGTTGGAAATGAGAACAGAGATGAAGACAGTCTATAGCTGTGCAGAAATTTAGAGGATAGGAAGAAAGTTCATGAGGGTAAAATGTACTTAGATTCACCACTCTAACATCTAAAGACAACATACTCACCAAGCAGGGATTTTCAGGAAGGAGACATGAAATTTCCCTGTAAAGGTAAAAATGTCGTGAGATCCTCAGGGAAATCCTACAGGTCTGAAAATATTAGTATATAGACACTAACCTATACACTAATAGGAGTAGCTTTTCAGGATCATTTTTTTTCTTCAGTACACCAGCTTCCAAAGTTGGGCTCTGGTTGGTTCACTCCCCCCCC